GGAGTACTTGATTGTGGCGTGGAGGGGACATGTCTGCTACCACGGAGGGCCCACCAAGATCGCCCTACCCCGGAACCTGATCAACAGGCTTGAGCTCTACCTCCACGAGACCTACGAGGAGTTCTCCTACGAGGATTTCTCGTCGATCCCCGGCCACATTGACCGGATTTTCGCGTAGGTGCACTGGGACTTTGGAGTGGAGCGTCTTGGGCCTGGGAATCATGTAGTAACGGACATTGTGAAATTTTTTTAAAATACTTGGGACTAAATTGAGAAGAGCCTAAGACAGAGAAATCATGAAAACCCATTTGTTACCTTTTTAAATATTCCTGTTTTGTACCTGATTATTTTTTTACTAGTTTACAGCACTTTTATAAATATACATTGTTAATAGTATAAATATTACCGTTCTGTTTTAAATAAATGTTTACATGTTTACAGCACTTACTGCTTGATCCTTCCCCTGATTCTGTGTCCGGGGTAAGGGATGGGGACGGTTGGTACGGGATCTCGGTAAGGGTGATGAAGAGCTCCTGGCTGTCGGGGAAATCAGCGGTGCCAGCGCTGTCGACTGCCTCGTCCTCTTCATCTTCCCCGTCCGCTAACATGTCCGACGAGGAACCGGCCGCGGACAATATCCCATCCTCGGAGTCCACGGTCAGGGGTGGGGTAGTGGTGGCGGCCGCTCCCAGGATGGAATGCAGTGCCTCGTAGAAACGGGATGTGTGGGGCTGGGATCCGGAGCGTCCGTTAGCCTCTTTGGTTTTTTGGTAGCCTTGTCTCAGCTCCTTGATTTTCACGCGGCACTGCGTTGCATCCCGGCTGTAGCCTCTCTCTGCCATGGCTTTGGAGATCTTCTCGTAGATCTTAGCATTCCTTCTTTTGGAGCGCAGCTCTGAAAGCACGGACTCATCGCCCCACACTGCGATGAGATCCAAGACTTCCCGATCAGTCCATGCTGGGGCCCTCTTTCTATTAGATTGCACGGCCATCTCTGCTGGAGAGCTCTGCATAGTTGCCACTGCTGCTGAGCTCCCCTCGATGTCCAAAGAGGAACTGAGATTCAAACTGCCCAGACAGGAAAATGAAAATGAATTCAAATTTTCCCGGGGGTGTGGCTGGTCAGAGCATCCGAGCTCGGACTGCTGTCCAGAGCGTCAACAGAGTGGTGCACTGTGGGATAGCTCCCGGAGCTATTACCGTCGATTTCCATCCACACCTAGCCTAATTCGATATGGCCATGTCGAATTTAGCGCTAATCCTCTCGTTGGGGAGGATTACAGAAATCGATTTAAAGAGAGCTTTATGTCGAACTAAATGGCTTCCTGGTGTGGACGGGTGCAGGGTTAATTCGATATAACGGCGCTAAAGTCGACATAAAAGCCTAGTGTAGACCAGGCCTTAGAAAACTTATGCCTTTGGCACAAAATGGACCCATCATTTCCTACAGCAGCAGCACTTTGTACATTTAGATAAAGGCCAAAAATGAATATCAATGACTTCTGGTCCTAAATTCTATAACTCTGTGACGTAAAATTCATAACTTAGTCTCTTAACTCAGGCAAAACTCCCATTGACTCAGTAGCCACCACTTGTCTTTAATCTCTTTCTTGAGCAAGGTCAAAGATAGTAGCTAGCCAATTCCAGCAAAACCTAACCTCTGCCAATATCTAAAAGCCCTCATTCAGGTGAAGGTATGGCAAGGAGAATGTATTGGTCAAGCTGAATGACAGTCACTTTATGGCTGAGGGCAAAAGACAAGCATCCAAGATAATGCTATTAAATCTATCTGCAGCCTTTTATACTGATCATGAGGTACTGCTAACTCACCTACAGGAACTCAACATGGTGTACAGAGTCACCTTAAGCTGTTTTTGCTCATTCCTCTTAGACAGATCCCAGAACCATGACAGGTATTTTTTCCTTATCCCTGAGTGCTCACTTATACAGTCCTTCATAGCTCACTCCTGTCACCTCTCATTCACAATCACAATGGAGATTGGGAGATACCAGTGGCTCCAGTGTCATCAATAATCTGATAAAAGGTAGCTCTGCAATCTCCTTCTCAAACATTTATAGTGTTGTATTCACCAACTGTCCCAGTGTCTGGAAGAAACTAAAATCTGTATGAAAAGCATTGATTTAACCCAGGTGAGCAACTACGGTTACTGCTAGACAGAGCGAAGTATTTTCAGGAATTAAGTGCTCATCCTCTATTGAGGGCATCTGCATAGCCTCAAGATCCTATCTGACTCTGTGCTGGTCCTATCTGCCCAAAGAGCAACTGTTTCATCTTTAGCCAGCCATGAAACATTGCCCTTTTCCCCTAATGCAGGCTAAGCCACAGTGCTGATCACTTTCAGGCTGGATTGTGCAACATGACCCCCTTATGGCCAGTTATCAACACAGGTATCAAAACCCACATCTGAAAAAAACCTTCATTAATTCATTGAGGGACAAAATAAATTCACAAGATACCCTCTTAAGCAGCTCTTTGGAGATAAACTGTACATCCTTCTACACCTGGAGCAGAAAGAAAACAGGTCTCTTTCATGTCTCTAAGGTCATAGCCCCAACCCTGTTATATAAGCATTTACTGAAGCAGAAACCACTATAGTTTAAGTTGCAATACTGTTTTCATTCCAGCCTGTTTTTACTTATTACTTTCATGCTTCAAAGGTGATTTCTTTTTAAGTTTGAGCAAAAACAGTTCAGTCATGTTGAATTATGAAGAGTGGAAAAATATACTTTCCCCTGTGATAAAAGAATTTTTGCAGTCTTCTTATTTGTACAGCTCTACAACCACAATGTCTGAGTTTAAAGTTGAAATTTGACATGGAAATGGCCCTTACTGAGTGGAAGTGACTGTCAGTGATCCAGAGAAAATTGGTTTGGACTTGACTGAGCTCTGAGCATTTGAAAATTGCATACCGAGTAGTAGGGTTTTTAACTTACTTCAAGTGCATCAAATCTAGTCAAATATATTGTGGGTTCTTATGCAATTTAAAATGCTTAGGAGGCCTCCCTTAGCATCTCTGCAGCTTAAAAAAATGCAAGGGTTGAAGGAGGGCTCCTACACATTTTGTGAGGTGTGCAGGGGTTGAGGAGAGGAGGCATTTGGATACTTCAGTGATGAGCACAGCATAAGAAGGTAGATGGATCTTGAGCAACTTGTAATCTGTCTATTGAAGATATTTATGGGTTGAGGCAAGAACGTAAGAATGGCCCTACTGGGTCAGACCAAAGGTCCATCTAGCCCAGTATCCTGTCTTCCGACAGTGGCCAGTGCCAGGTGCCCCAGAGGGAATGAACAGAACAGGTGATCATCAAGTGATCCATCCCGTCACTCATTCCCAGCTTCTGATAAACAGAGGCTAGGGACACCATTCCCACCCGTCCTGGCTAACAGCCATTGATGGACCTATCCTCCATGAATTTATCTAGTTCTTTTTTGAACCCTATTATGGTCTTGGCCTTCACAACATCCTCTGGCAAGGAGTTCCACAGGTTGACTGTGTGTTGTGTGAAGAAATACTTCCTTTTATTTGTTTTAAATCTGCTGCCTATTAATTTCATTTGATGACCCCTAGTTCTTGTGTTATGAGAAGTAGTAAACAACACTTCCTTATCTACTTTCTCTACACCAGTCATGATTTTATCTCAATCATATCTCCCCTTAGCTGTCTCTTTTCCAAGCTGAAAAGTCCCAATCTTATTAATCTCTCCTCATACAGAAGCCGTTTTTGTTGCCCATTTCTGAACCTTTTCCAATTCCAATACATCTTTTTTGTGGGGCGACCACATCTGCACGCAGTATTCAAGATGTGGGTGTACCATGGATTTATATAAAGGCAACATGATATTTTCAGTCCTATTATCTATCCCTTTCTTAATTATTCCCAGCATTCTGTTCGCTTTTTTGACTGCCGCTGCACATTGAGTGGATGTTTTCAGAGAACAAGGTCACTAGAAGTGCTTACCTCAGCCCCTGAATGATTCAAAAGGTACAAAAAGTTTAAGGGAGGAATTTGAGTGCAGCTTGTATTGCCAAATTCTGTCATTACACATTACTACAACAACACTGCAAATTTCAAATTATAGAATTTATATCAATTATTGGCAAATTTTTGCAAGACAGCATAGTTTCTAAGTACTGGATAATGACGTTCTATTTTAAAACACAGACAGGAAATGCCATGCAAAAAACTATGTTAAGAAAACTTTAAAGTTAAACTTAAAAGTCAGAAAGTGACAAAGTTAAGGATTTACATGCAACTTTAATTCTGTCCTGTTGTGTATACACATTACAATGCAGTCTTTAATTACACTATCACATATATTTTTCAAATAATAAAGTTATACAATTTTTTTACAGCCTTAGCTACACATGATCCTTCTTGTAAAAATATTTTTCATCCCTGCATTCTTACACTTCTGTTTGTTGTAATGGTCCATTATATCTTTAGTAACTTAGATAGGTAAACTAAGGTAGGCAGAGAACAAGTGACTTGCCAAGGTCACATGACAAGTCAATGTCAGATTAGGAATAAAATCATGATTTCCAGTCTTGTGCTCTAACCAACAGACAGTGCTATGGTCCTGTTCTATCATGTTACAAAATTACATTTGACTAACTGCTTACAAAATTTAACTTTCCTCACTGGAAAGTGTCAGTCAGTGGTGCATTCATATTAAAAAATGTGAAGTGTTTATCATTTATGATCATTAGGAAATTTTCAAACAGCCATTTTTTAAGCAGAAAAGATAATCGCAAATATCTCTTAAATCTTTTTGTCCTACCTACCTTTAAAAGTGGAAGCAAAATATATTTAACATACTGTACGAGCGGAGAAGAGTCCCACGTACACGTTTTAGACTGAAAACTCTTTGGGTCAAGAACTGTCATTTATTATACATTTATATAGTGCCCAAATGGACCCCCACTAAAGGTTGTGGCCTTTAGGCGCTACTGCAGTAAAAACTGTAAATATTAGTTTTACCTCTGTGAGGGATCCACAGGCCACTCCACCATGCAGGGCTTTATCCAAACCATCTAGGGTAGTGGGGAAGAAGGCTGAGGATGGATTGATAGCCCTTTTCATTTTCATCTCATAAGCCTATAACAGCAAAAATTAACCAAAAAAAAAAAAAGCTTTTTCAGAGGGCAAGAGAAATTTCTGGCATTTGCTCCCCAACAATCTAGCATTATTTAATACTTGGCCTACAAGTTTACTATACAAATCCTAAACTATATTCTCATCCTTCCCTGTGTTCTTTCTCCACCTGAGCCTCCACCACACTTAAATGCAGACACCACTAAGTAGATTTAAAGAAGTTTATTGTATACACTGAGGTTTTTGCAGTCTAGCTTTGAACTTTTCTCCCACATCACAATGTCAAATTATAAAAAGCACTTTACAATAACTTTTCAAAAGTGAAGGTTTTTTTCCCCCTGGCCAACATGTGCTGCTTTTGATCTGCCTAACTACTACTTATGAACAAGGAAATACTAACTCTGTGGTCAGCAGAACTGTGCAAAACATTCACAGTGAAACCCAAAACCAAGAATTTGGCTGATTTTGAACTTGGCATCTCAAAACCATTCGAGTTCATTGAAAGGTTCATTAAGATTTGTAAACTGTTTGAACAAGTCTGGGTCAATACCAAAGCCTAGCATAGCTTTTGGGTTTTGTGAGCCTGATCTAGTGAGTACGGCCACCAGACTGGCAGTCAGGAAATTTGGGTTCTCCTTCCAGCTGACTTAAGATATGAGGCCAGTCACTCACCCTTTTTTATGCCTCAGTTTCCCCAAATACTGGGCAGCAGGCTTAACCAATTAATATTTGAAAAGAATTTGGAGATCCTCAGCCAAAAGGTGCTAGAGAGTGGAACTGTACAAAGTATATGAAAAACATCTGTTTTGATCTTTTCAGGGCACAAAACACCACAAAGCAAAACTGGCTCCAGCGATATCCTGATAGATTTGGGTTCAGGTTAACTGGAAAAAGGAATGCACAGAGTGATAAGGGATTTGCACACATTTTATCATTAGTACAAAATTAGTCTTTTTTTTAAACTATGACATTTTACACTAGCTGTGGATCTGCCTCATATAGATTTTAATGTAAAAAGGGATCATTATGATAATCTAATCTGACTGCCTGCATAACATAGGCCATAGAATTTCATCCAATAATTCCTGTACTGAATCTGAGAAATTGTGGTTTTGCTAACATATCTTTTAGAAAGACATTCAGTCTTGATTTAAAAACTGCAAGTGAAAAGAATTTACCACATCCCTTAGTCTGTTCAATGTTAAAAATTTTCCATCTTATTTCCCCTTTGAATTTTTCTGACAAACTCCAGCCACTGGATCTTGTTATGCTTTTGCATGCTCAATTAGAGTTTTCTAATATCAGATATCTTCTCTCTTTATAGGTGCTTCTTGGCCACAATCAAATCACCTCTTAACTTTCCCTTTGATGAACTCAATAGATTCAGCTCCTTAAGTTTCCCATTCGGAGTGGAATTTTCCAGACCTCAAACCATTTTTGTTACTCTTTTCTAAATCCTGTCCAATTTTTCAATATCTTTGGACACAGAACTCTAGTAGTACATCTGTATAGAATAGGGGTGGGCAAACTACAGGCCAGGGGCCGCATCCGGCCCTCCAGACGTTTTAATCCGGCCTCGAGCTCCCACTGGGGAGCGGGGTCCGGGACTTGCCCCGCTCTGGCACTCCAGGCAGGGAGCGGGGTCAGGGGCTTGCCCCACTCCGCGAGGCTCCTGGAAGCAGCAGCATGTCCCCCCTCCTTCTCCTACGTATAGGGGCAATCAGGGGGCTCCACATGCTGCTCTTGCCCCAAGTGCCGCCCCGCAGCTTCCATTGGCCGGGAACCACAGCCAATGGGAACTACAGGGGCGGCGCCTGTGGACAGGGCAGTGCATAGAGCTGCCTGGCCGTGCCTCCGCGTAGGAGGCAGAGGGAGGACATGCTGCTGCTTCTGGGAGCTGCTTGAGGTAAGCACCGCCTGGAGCCTGCACCCCTGACCCCCTCCCATTCCCCAACCCGCTGCCCCAGTCCTGATCCCCCTCCAACCCTCCAATACCCTCAATCTCACCCCAGAGCCCGCACCCCCTCCTGCACCCCAACCCCCAATTTCATGAGCATTCATGGCCCGCCATACAGTTTCCATACCCAGATGTGGCCCTTGGGCCAAAAAGTTTGCCCACCCCTGGTATGGAACAATGTTGAGACCACTATCACCTTCTTACCCACACTCAATATTTCTGTTTTTTCATTCAAGGATCACGCTAGCCACAGCATCACACTGTGAGTTCCTGTTCAGTTGCTTATCCACCATGACCCCAAATCCTTTGCAGAACCACTGTTTGACAAAATACACCCCAGACTTGTTGATAAAAATACTCAATAAGGATGGTCTGAGAACCAGTCCCTATGGGACCCCACTAGAAACACCCTCACCACTTGATGATTCCTAGTTAACAGTTATCCATTGAGATTTATCAGCCAGTTTTAATCCATTTAATATGTGCTATGTTGATTTTGTATAATGCTAATTTTTTAATCTGAATTTTATGTGACACCAAGTTCATTATATTAGTAGTTACCTTTCACAAGGTTGCAAGTGTGGTTGATAAAGAACGATTTCATTTTCATTTGACAAGACCTGTTTTTCAAGAATACATGCAGATTGGCATTAATTATATTTCCTTCCTTTGCTGATAGAGTCCCATATCAGCCACTGCATTATTTTTTCCTAGGATCAAGGTCAGGCCAGCCAGGTCAGCCCATTTAACTTTTGAATACTGGCACAACATTGGCTTTCTTCCAGTCCTCTGGAACTTCCCCAGTTGCCCAAGATTTATTACCCAAGATTTATTAAAAATTCACATTGATTATCTGGAGAGCTCCTTGGCCAACTCTTAAACTACAGTGAACGTTACCTGGACCTGCACTGTCTTGACACCCAGTTTTCTCTGCCCCATCTCTCCCTCCTGCCACAAGCAGGCTACTATCATTAGCATCTTTTCTTTATGGCTGGGAGGACAACAGTCTAATTCAGACTTGTTCTCTTAGAGTAGCCACAAGAATCCAGTCAACAGCAGTGCAGCCCACACCTCCTGTCTCCTTCCCTCCACTCCCACCAACTCTAACACCAGATGCATCACTTTCATGCCACTCCACATTCCCATTTGCCTAGAATGAGAGAATACGAGATTCTCCAAAATGAGCAGAATATAGCTTTAATGATCACTCTGCTCTTTGGCACTAACATTACTTTCTAAAAACCAGTTTCTATGGGCACTGCTGTTCCTACCCTTCACCTACACTAATCAATGGCACTTTCAGTTGTAAGGCTCAGATTGGAAGCAATTTCTTTGATATTCTCAGAGGTAGGAAAGAATTTCTTATCTTCTTGAGTGGCTCTCAGCCTACATATGTCACTTGTAGGAGTGCTACTTATATCCTATTGTAATAACCTGAGCAACCTGCTTAAGCACTAAAACGCATAGCTGAACTCACTGTATTCTGACAAGAAAGAGATTTTCTTTTTATACACATCTGAACTGAGAAATTCATTGTCGTCTTTTGGATCTGAATTTAGCAATGAACACAGGCATAGCCTGACTTGATCCTTATAATGGAATTCCACTGTTTACATCTTGGATGGCACGCCATCTCATTTTATTTGCAACAAACCTATACTACACTATACCCTTGATAGGTAAAAAGAAAAGTGACTGTAGTCAGATTTCATAACAGGATCACCACAAGGATACTTACAGTCTGCATTTTGGGAGCACAAGCTAAGCTGACTTTGCAAAGAAGTTTCTGTACATTCCAATAACTTTGCCCGGTCACTTTCATTAACTCCAAGAGTGAAAGACACAGAAAGTCCTGAAAGATGATTAAAAGGAACAGAGTTCAATCTGGGGATTGAAGGGGGGAAAGAGATTACATTAGTTTAATATATTTATAAACAATCAGTTCATATTCCAAATTCCCCCATGGTGCAATTCCACTCAAGACAATGGAATTATACAAGGCATTAATTTTGCCTCGCATTTTAAAGGGCTGGGTGGGAGTGGGGAGAGCGGAAAAAATTAAATATTCAATGATTGTCATATTGGGGTGGGATGAAACAACAATATTGCCTTTCTCATGAGCCTCTGTCCTTAAATGAAAAATGATCACAGACCACCTCAAACAATGTCTCATTTTCTAATTATCAGACTTAGGGCCAGATCCTACAATTGGATTCATGTCAGAGGACTGCAGCCTCTGCACAGAGACCCTGGCTCTGCTTAGGGATCTATTCATACAGACATTTGCAGGATCTAGCCCTGAATCACCCTGTATTGGACAAAGTCACAGAACACCAAATTAACAATTCTGGTTTGAGAAGAGAATGAGAAAACACCACTACTAGTTTCAGTTTAATATGACCATCTTCACTTCCTGTTGTATTGTGCTGCTGTATTTGGTTAAACAGTTGTCTTGCTCCACCCAAGTGGCAGCTGAATTTCATTGGTGACAGAAGTGATCTCTACATTACTTTAGGATCTTTGGGATGAAAGGCTCTATATAAATGTAAAGTATGAACCTGTTGGGAAGTTATATTTCTGCACACATTCAAGACTACACCTTTACAAGGCAGCAGGCCATACATGTGTCAAAGAGACTCATAACCCAACATAAAATAAATCTCTATATCTATTAAGCGAAAGTCTCACCCGACAGGTAGTGATCTGATGCCGACTCAGCCTGTCACAAAGTTCCTGAGATAACCCTGCTCTTCTTAATTTCTTAGTGGCCATGTTCCCACATCTGGTGAACAGAAAAAACAATCACAGTACAGCAAAACAAATCTAGAAAAGCTGTTTGCAATACCAACACAAACAATACCAGCACAAAAACACAAACACACACTCTACTCTAAAGAATGGAAACATATCACACATTACAAATCTTTGTACTATTGGAGTGTGTAAGTGGTCACAGAGCAACTCCTGTTAAATAACAATTACCCATAAATAGCCAAATGCAAGGCCATGCACCTAGGAACAAAGAAAGCAGGTCATGCATACAGGATTAGGGACTCCATTCTGGGAAGCAGTGACTGAGATTTTGGGGGTCATAGCAGATAATTATCTGAACACGAGTTCCCACTGCAACACTGTGACTAAAAGGACTAATGCAATCCTTGGATGTATAAGTAGGGTAATATCAAGTAGAAGTAGAGAGTATCTGGCACTGGTGCAACCGCTACTGGAATAGTGTGTCCACAATTCAAGGGTGCTGAGAAATTAGAGAGGTCAGAAAAGAGGCACGAGAATGATTAAAGAATTAGAAAACATACCTCAGTGAGAGATTTAAGGAGCTTGATCTATTTAGCTTATCTAACAGAAAGTTAAGGAGTGACTTGATCAGAGTCTGTAAGTACCTAAATGGGGAACAGAAATTTGATAATAGAGGGCTCTTCAATCTTGCAGGCAAAGGTATAGCACAATCCAATAGCTGAAAGTTGAAACTAGACAAATTCAGGCTAGAAATAAGGTGCATGTTTTTAACAGTGAGGGTAATTAACCATTAGAACATCTTTCCAGGGGTTGTGGTGGATTCTTTATTGCTTGCAATTTTTAAATCCATATCAGTTGTTTTTCTAAAAGATATGGTCTAGTTCAGCCATAGCTATTGGACTTGAAGAAGGAATTCAAGGAAGTCCTATGGCCTGTGTTATGCACCTCAGACTTGAAGATAACAATGGCCCAGCCTTTAAATCTAGTAATTAGCTGGGATATTACAACTGTACCATTTTTCATGTTCTTCTAATCTCTCAACCAGGGTATAAAAGATACCAGTATGCCTTGCAACTGAAAAGCAGAAGTAACAGATCGTCTAAAGCATCTATACACATTTGTCTTCCTATCTACACATATATTCAATCATTTTGTTCTTTCACACATAATATCCTGGGGATATTCCCTGTGGGTTCGTAACGAGGATTTCAAAGAGACTGGCTCTTCTGAATGTCTCTCAGGTATCACTGATCTTGGTGCCTGGTGGGTCAAGCCACAGGGTTATGTTAGTGTTGTGTGAATACTCATGCAGTGCAGAAATCATCAGTGGAGTTCATTGTTATGTATATCACTATAGAGTCTCAGAGCTCACAACATATATCTTTGTCATTTGGCTGCATCAAAATGTTATTGTTGAAGTGCTAAATTTCTCCTGCAGCCACAGAGGAGATATATACATCTTTACATGTTCAGTGTCCTGCCAAGAAAGCAGTAAGTGTCCTGGAGATTGAGAAGTGAAGGTTGATTGTAGAATAGGATTTGCAGGATGTTAAAAGGACAGTCATGAAAAGGAACAAATTAGTAAATAATTTTTCATTTTAATATAACATCCACACACTCAGCCCATAGCTCTAGAGTAGCAACTGGCTCACATACTGCTATTGCAAAACCCATGTGTCTGATCAGATCTTCTGTTACTCTGCTTTGTTTCAGGAAGAGAAGAAAACAATTAGACACAGAAATGCTGCCCATAACCCTTGGCACACGATATGGCACCAGGCAAACGGACAAGAGCTACTTCCAAAGCAGCCTGGAAGAAAAAAAAGAATGAAACAGATTAGCAGGGAAACGAGGAAGGAAAATACTGATAGGGAGTTCCAGAAAGCCAAGAGATCCTGAAAATTCATTGCCATGTTTGCCTTGCGACATTAGGGCTTCATCCACAGGACCCATAATTCATCACTGATGCAGTTCCTGCAGCAGAACCTGTAGACAGGACTCAAGTGTTACTTCCACCCTGTTATTTAACCCTACTCAGATGATGCTATGGTACAAAAATAACACCTGAGGCTATGGCTACACTACAGAGCTTAAAGCGATACTGCTGTGCCACTGTAGTACTCTTACAGCAGATACTCTAAAGCCAACAGGAGAGTTCTCCCACTGACTTGTTTACTCCAGCCACTGAGAGCAGCAGGAGCTATGTCCATGGGAGAAGCGCTCCTGCAGACACAGTACTATCCACACCAGCACTTAGGTCATGTAATTTACATCACTCGGGGGTAGCTTATTCACACCCCTGAGTGACATAACTCATACCGAGGTAAGATGTAGTGTGTACATAGCCTCAGTTTAATCCCAGTTTCCACCAGCGGGGCTGCACCGATAGTGAATTACAGGTCCTAATGCTGCCAGTGCAGACAGGGTTTATGGCGCGGATTCTGCAAGTGCATCTATGGGGATCATCATCCAGCTGTTACCTCTCCTTTGTGAATGACCCCCGGGGGGGGGGGGGCGGGGGAAGAGGCCTCCCTACCTACCCCCCACTTCTTGATGGCCCAGAAGGCGGTAATGAGCGAGTGGTTCCCAGGGCCGCCCAAAGGATTCAGGGGGACTGGGGCAAAGCAATTTCAGGGGCCCCTTCCATAAAAAAAAAGTTGCAATACTATAGAATACTATATTCTGGTGGGGGCCCCTGTGGGGCTTGGGGCAAATTGCCCCACTTGCCCCTCCTCCCCCCGCCGCCGCCTGGGCAGCCCTGGTCGCTCCACATACACACACCAGTGCCCCCAGGAGAATGGGCTGGGGGGGGGCGCCCCTCATTCTGCCCTGACCCCACTTCCCCCGTGGGATAATGCGGGAATGTCCCTCCCACACGGTGCAGGGCGCCCCGCTGCCTTCCCGCGCCGACCCAGGTTCCCCATGCCCCGCCCGGCGACTGCTGGCTGCAGCCCCCTCCTCCTGCCCTGGGGCCGCCGAGCCCCTCCCCCCGGGCTCCGCCATCCAACCGCCACAACGGCCCCGCGCCCTGACCTGGCAACTTTTTCAAAGTCTCCCACTTCCCCGAGCAAGAGGTGGAGTCACAGAGCAACATCCAGGGCAGCGATTGGCCCGTTACCCTAAGCCACCGACCAATAAGCTGCAGCGCTATGGCTCAGCCAAGCGCGAGGCGTGCTGGGAGTTATAGTTCTCTGAGGAGGCTCGCACAGTGGGCGGCGGCCCCCCCCCAGCCCGTTCTCCTGTGGGCGTATGAGGTGTGCAGGGGTTTTGCTCCCTGCAGTGCATCTAGAGTGGCTGGCAGCTGCCCCCCTTGGCTTGTTTTCAAGGGATGGAAGATAAGAGAATTCCTCTTCCCCATAATTTCTTAGCTGTGGTTGTGTATGTACAAGCACGTGATGGTTTGAAGCTGCCCAGAGGCTCAGAATGTTAGAAGTCCAGGGACCAGCTAAAGTCACTTTCCTTGTAGAGACTGGTCCAAAGGCAGAGCTCAAACTACATATACTGGAAAAATGGAGGTACTTTTAAAATGGTGATTACTATTACTTAGCATTAATATACTTCTTTAATCTGAGGATCTCAAATTGCTTTATAAAGGTGAGTAAGCATTATTTCCATCTTCTGATGGGGGAGACTGAGATGTACTGAGTTTGAAAGATTGTTTGCTGAAGGTGAAGCCACTGGTGCAATTTCAAATTATAAATGCATATAAAATAATCATCATGGTACAAACCAGTTAGCAGGTAGCTATCTCCACCTGTAGCAAATTCTTGCATCGTAATTCTAAAGTGTGTTCCTTTCTTGAGAAGGAGGGACCCTAATGGCAGAGTAACCCATTCACAAGTATTCAAATTCATTACAACATGAGGGGAGAGAGCTTTACATTAATCTGCTTATGAGGAAATTGTCAGATCAACCTTCAGGGAATTCTGGAAACACCCACAAAGAAATTATTCAAGTAATGGAGGCAAAGCCAAAGGTTGCCTTCAAGGACCAAGGCAGGGTTGGATTCTAACTGATTACACAATATTGAAGTAGAACTGCAAACAGAAAGAGGAATTATGCTTCAGATTACACTAACCATTAACTGTTCTAGGGTCCAGCTCTCTGGAGTTTAAAAAGAAATGAGATTCCCTCCACAATCAGTTAAGTGATTTGTCATCATTTGACTCTCATAAAAAAAAAAGACTATGGTAACATAATTGATGGAAATCTCCATCAAGTTCAAGATTATTTGGTCAAAATCCTAAATGATTGGGAACAGGATTCAGAACCTGTTGGGTCACAAATAAAAATAATTTGGTTGGTCTCTAATTAGTCCTCATTTGTCCATTTCACAAAGCCACAGCAGAATTTCATATTACTGGCATCCTCTCTTCAGAAAAAGCAATATGAAGAAAGATCTAGTAGTGTGCTAGAAAATATCCTGTTCAAATCCATTTGGATAATCACACTGTGTTGACTTAAGTTCTCCTTGCAGTTCAGTTGCCAAAGTTAGTCTTTACTGTGTTCCCCCTTAAAAACATGCATATCGTTGCTGAGGCAGAATGGCTGCCATGCCCTACCCTAAAGTTCCTGCATTCTATTAGTAGGTTAGCACATACAATCCTTGTATGTACCGTCTACAAATCATTTGGTAGCATTCAGGATGAAAACCAGTATAAAATATAAGGTTTCAGTAATAATGAATAATAAGAGAAGGATTATCTTTTGACTCAAACTCAGGACTTGGTCAAGAGATTTCATTTCTATGGCCTGCCAGCCCTATCACAGACTCCCTCTCCAGCCTAAGGAAAATCCATTAACTGCTCGGTGACACCTGTAAAATAGGAATAACAACTACCTTACAGAAAGCTTGTGAGGATTAATTCATTAATGTTTGCAATGTGATTTGGAATCCTCAAATGGAAGGCACCTAAAAAGTGAAAAGTATTATTTGTGTTATCTACAGTATTAATCATTGTCATAATATTTAGTCCCAAAGATTAACCTAGCTGATTGAAAAAATACGTTGACTCATTTGGAATATATATTGAGGGAGGGAATATATATGCCCTGAACTGTATGTTTATGTGTGTGTGTAGTGCAATAAAAAAAATATATAGTGGAATTGAAAAAAAAAAAATACAAGAGCAAGTTCAATACTTTATAAAACCAGCAAGTCAGTGGTGGATTAGCCACTGGGCCAACGGGGCCTGTGCCCAGGGGCCCCAGCCAATTGGGGGCCCCCAGAAAATGAGTGCCCCTGCTCCGCCCACCCTCCCGGTGCTCCTGCCGGAGAGCGGGGTTGGGGCACAGGGGCTTGGCCTCTGTCCACCCGCCCAGCCCTCCTGCCGGGGAGTGGGGAAAGCCCCAGCGACCCTACCCTTCTTCCTGGCAGGAGCACCAGGCGGACGAGGGAAGCCCCCATACACTGACCCCGCTCCCCGGCAGGAGTGCCAGGCGTGGGGTGGGGCAAGCCCCCACGCCTCAACCCATTTTCCCGGCAGGAGCACCGGGAGAGAGGGAGGATGGGGTGGGGGAGGGCCCCCACTTGCTCTGGCCCAGACCCCCACAAACCCCTAATCCACATCTGCAGCAAGTCATAAAAACATGGTGAAAGCTATGACATAGCAAGAGGCCATGAGTAAGGCTGAGAGTTTGACCTCCGTGACTCCTGCAGCAGCCGGTGCGGCAGGCTCCAGGGCTGCCCGAGCAGCTTAGGCAGCCCCTGGGCCAGTTGCACTGGCCACTGCTGGGGCAGTCTCAGGCACCGCCCCCACCCAAAACTAGCAGGAGGAGTTTGGGTGTGGGAGGGGGCTTAGGGCTGGGGGTTGGGGCACAAGAGGGCATGAGGGCTCTGGGCAGCGCTTACCTTGGGGGGGCGCCCCGAAAGCAGCAACGCGTCCCTCCCTCCCTAGCTCTGTGCACTGCCTCCATCTGCAGGCATGCCCCCACAGCTCCCATTGGCCACGGATACCAGCCAATGGGAGCTGTGGAGCTGCCAGCGCGCGTAGCTAGGAACTTCAGGGGGGACATGTCACTGCTTCGCCACTTCCGAGAAGCCAAGTAGGGGGCCTGCGAGCTCCAACTCCCCCCCTCCCAGCACCAGCGGGGGTTCGGGGTTGTTCCCACCCAAGCACCTTTGGCGCCCCCTGGACCACCCCCCCAAACACCCGCATTCCCCCAGCACCCATGGCACACACCCCAGGTCTCCCCCCAGCATCTGCGGCCCCACTCCCAAGATTTAGTCAGGGGTATAGTACAAGTCATGGATAGGTCACAGGCCGTGAATTTTTGTTTACTGCCTGTGACCTGTCCATGACTTACTAAAAATACCCATGACTAAAATGTAGCCCTTAGCCATGAGAAATCTGACAAATATACAATCAGAAAGAGTTAATGAAACAGGGAGTTCACACTAAGAAAGAAAGGAGTTGTCTTCAATGAGAAATACCACAGAGGATTTAAGGAATTGGTAAAAGAGCAAGCAATATGTCAAATATACAGAGATGAAATGGAGAAAGAGTGCCACCTAGTGTAGTAAAAAAGTCTGCAATCAAAAATGGACTTTTCATTTCAAGTCTGTCTTAAAGGGTTGGACAAGGGAGGGAAAGCTGTGTGCAGGGCCGGCTCTAGAATTTTTGCCGCCCAAGGCAAAAACAATTTTGGCCGCCCCCCGCCCCGCCTCAACTCCGCCCCTTCCCCAAATCCCCAGCCCTGCCTCCTCCCCCCAGGCTCTCAAGTCTGGGAGGGAGGGGGAGCAGCGGCAAGCGAAACGGCTGTTTCGCG